CTTCTCTTGTGATACACAGGACACTTGCCTGAATAGTGATACCATGTCTTTTTTTTTTATTATTTGAAATACAACTTTATTCTGATTCTAAACGAAAAGAAGGGAATGACAGTAACAAACAAGATTTCACCACTAACTGAATAGTGTGATGGGACTGCAGCAGTCTTATTTTTGAAATTCAGGAAGGAAACAACTGTGTTCCAAACAGCTAAATATGCAAGTCCAAAAAAAATGAAGGTAAGTTTTAACTGCCACATTCACTCGAAGCCCATTCATCTCCTTCAGCATCCCAATGAAGTACACGATCTGCTTAGCTAAATAAGATGGCACACACGCTGCACTGCTGACGTCACAGGACAGTTGCCTATAAAACTAGACTTCTGACTCAGGGCTCCAGCTTCACGTTCTCACAGGTCATCATCCTCGTCTGGGAGGGCAGTCGTTTGAGCAACCTCTAAATCATGCTCATACTGTGCTGCCAAAGCTGGGTCCATGACCACCTCAGGAGGGGCAAGAGCAGGCATGGCAACAAACTCCAAATTAGGGTCTCCAATGAGCTTTCTGGCAAGCCAGAGGAAAGGCTTTTCAAAGTTGTAGTTACTTTTGGCGGAAATATCATAGTACTGAAGGTTCTTCCTTCGGTGGAAGACAATAGATTTTGCCTTCACTTTTCTGACCTTAATATCCACTTTATTGCCACACAATACAATGGGGATGTTTTCACACACACGCACCAGATCTCTATGCCAGTTAGATACATTCTTGTAAGTGACTCTTGATGTTACATCAAACATTATAATGGCACACTGGGCTTGGATGTAGTAGCCATCGCGCAGGCCTCCGAACTTCTCTGGCCGGCCGTGTCCCACACGTTGAACTTGATGGGCCCTCTGTTGGTATGGAAGATGAGCGGGTGCACCTCCACGCCCAGGGTGGCTACATATACTTCTTCTCGAACTCGCCCGTCAAGTGGCGCTTCACGAACGTCGTCTTCCCGGTGCCGTCGTCCCCCACCAGGACGAGCTTGAACTGGACCTGCGGCTCTCCCTGGGCGGCCATCGCGGCGATCCTTCCAGCAAGAGCCTCGGTGCCTGTCCGACTCGTGATATCATGTCTTTAAAAGGAAATTTCATTATTTAACATGTCTGTTTTTATTATCATATTTTATAGTGTTTGATTATC